GTTTAGGGTCTAGGGTTAAGGGTTAGGGGTTAGGGGTTAGGGTTTAAGGCTCGGGCTCTGGTTAAGGATTAGGATGCAGGACTAGGGCTAGTGCGAGGGATTTGGGAGTTGAAGGTTTGGGTTATGGCTCAATATTCAGAGTTCGGACCCGGGTTTTCCGTGAGGGTTAGGGATTACGTTAGGGGTGGGCCCAGGGGTTCGGGTCAGAGTCAGGGGTTAGGGCTAGGAGTTAAGGTTCGGGCATGGTTTAAGGCTAAGGGTCAGGGTTCGGTTTGAGGGTTCGATTGAGGGTTTAGGGTTGAGGGTGAGCATTAGGATTAGGGGTTAGTGTTGGGGCATGGGGGGGGGGGGTAATGGTTAGGAGTTACGGTTCGGCTTGCGGTTTAGGCTTTAGGGTTAGGGTTATGGGTCCAGGTCAGGGGTCATGGTAGGACATCGGATTAGCGGCGGACTGGCGGGCCTTGCCTTAGAAATGTAACTTTGCCTGGCGGGGGCCCCCGCCGTCAAGCGGGGGTTTTCAAAATTTGGGCGGGCGCGGGCGGGCGCGACGTTCGGCCGCGACCGTTGTGATGATTTCAGTTCAGGCCGGCTCCCTATCAATGGTGCTTGCTTCTGCTCCTGCTTGTATTCAATGTTTGAGAGGTGGGGTTCGGGTTTAGGGTTGTGGTTTCGGGTTGGGGCTCGGTTAAGGGTTAGGTTTTAGGGTTGGGGGCTAGGCTTCAGGGTAAGGGGTTACGGTCCGGGTTACGGGTCGGGGTGGGGGCTCGGGTTAGGGGTCGGGCCGCTAGCTTGCAGTCGAAGCCCGCCGGACGCACCCCGCCCGCCCATGACCCATTGCATGCAGAACTCAACGCATCGAGGACGTCATTGCGATGCGTCGCGCGCAGTACTTGCGCGGCGCCTGCACCTGATGCGGCGGCGACGCGGCATGGGGTCGAAGCGACCAGTGGGTACCCGCAGCAGGTTGCCGACGCAGTGGCGATGTGCCGGTGCAAGGGATTCGGGCCGCGCGCATGGGAAACCACATGCGCTGCAAAAGATTCTGGCCGCATGTGCGCAACGCGCCGTATTTTTCAAGAAGGGAAAGTGGGGGGCGCCGAAGGGGCGGCGCAAGGGGTGTCCGTAAGGGATCCCAGGGCTTGAATCTTTATAGGCTGTCAATTCTTAGGGTTAGGCTTAGGGTTTAGGGTTGGGGGTGAGTATTGCGGTTGGGGGTTAGGGTTCGAGGTTAGAGTTGGAGTCAGGGTTAGGGTTAGAGGTTCGGCTTGCGAGTGCGGTCTTAGGGTTCGGGTGATGGGTTATGGTTCGGGTTCGCGATTAGGATCAGGCCGCAAACTAGCGGTGGACCAGCGCACTATGTCTTAAACGTGAAATCTCTGCGTGGCGGGGGGCGTCGCCGTCAAGCGGAGAACTGGCATGGATTTGAGGCGTCAGCAGGCATGCGAGTGAATGGGATATCGGAGGGGGGTGGCCTTGGGCCGGTCTCGACGACTAATCGTCGCACTACCGTCTCAAACGGCTGGCGCCCTAAAATTAAAAACTCTGCCTCACCTGGAGTGTCTCGGCTCTCCGCGGGGCCCGCGGGCGAGTTGTCAGGATATTGGCCAGAGGTGTGTTTCGCGCGCTGTTGCCACTCAGTGCACAAGACTGACCATTTGTACTCCCTTCCTGCCCCTGCTCCAGTTTCCCCATCCTGCCTTCGCCTGCTCCTCGTATTTATGCTGCTGCTGCTTCTGCGCCTCCCTGTCCTTCCAGCACCCCACCCTTTCCCGACGTGAAGGCTGTACTTTGGATTTGCTCGGCGGGATGTTCGTTGATCGACGGGCTTGGTGGGTTGCGAGGTGGTGTCGTCGGCGTTTTCTCGCTCAGCAGGCTTCCTTGTTTTTCCCTAGGACGCGTTTGACAATTCCCTCGCTCCACCCAAACAATTTCCTGTTCCGCCTCGCTGGCGTCCGTTCGCGACCCTCGTTGGACCCAAACAAGTTTGTTGGTTCGGGAGGACAGGTATTCCTCGTTTGCCTTTTGAAATTTCCTCGCTCGCCTAGAGAAGTTTCTAGGTGCGCCTGTCGACCAAGGGATGTAGATATAGGGTGCCCGCGTCGAATGGGACTGGTCTTCAACCTTTCGGTTTTCGGGCAATCGCAGCGGGGAAACGCGCGGAAGTGCAAAACGGAACCGCACGGACAACGGCGAGACCGAGAATCTCACAGCGAAACCATCTTGGCGAAGGACCCAACCATATGCAGTCGTGAGTGCCGTTGGGCAGGCGGGGCGATCGATGGGGGAACTCCAAATGGGGTTGCGAATCGTGTGAGACAGGCGAACCGCGTGAGGGGCGTGCCAACATGGGGCGGGGTATTGCATGCGGGCTGTGGAGGGGGGCGCATGCGATGCTTGCCGCTGTGACCTTCGGTGGGCCCCTTATGGGGCCACGAAGCGTGTGAAGAACGTGCCGACACGGGCGGGGGAAACGCGCGCAAGGATGGCCGAAGGGACCTTC